AACATGATGTCGGGATGATACTTTTGGTCCCACATATTTTCCCTATTCTTGCTGAAATTTTTTATATTTTCTTTTGAATAAGTGCTGTTTTATTGATAATGTATACGAGCAAACATTTTTGGCATGTAAGGGCCCCACGTATCACTTAAATTCAAATAAATATGTGTGTCTAGCTGAGTTGGTTTGAGTAGTAGACGTGATTTTTGAAACAGCAGATATGCTATGTCAAATTTAGGCAAAGACAGAGTGTTGAAATATCTCTTTATCATATCTTGAACATTTTGTCCAAATGGGAGTTACTATAAGGAAGTAGAGTAGGTTTACATATGTTTTCAGAAAGAGACAGACAGACATAGTATTTCAACCAATATATTCCTAGTGAAGACTATGAAGTTGGAAAGGAAAATGAATCAAAGAGAACCTGTTACTTCTAGCAATCAACATTTGCGAACAACTCTCTGACTGTCCCCTTGAAAGTAGCTGCTGGCTAATGTCATCTAAGAGGAAGCGAATTTGCTGTAGAAGAGGATGCTGTTGGTCTTGTTGTGCTTAATGAAGAACAGGAAAGGGTGATCACAATGGAAATGCAAATGGTGCTGATAATACACTAGAAATTTTTTATTTTTGATTCACAGACTGAATGGTCTTTATTTTGCTGAATGTCTAAAATTCTACCATTAGACGCTCATCTCTTTATGTTAATAGGCTTCTTCCTTTTTTATATGTCCAGGGCTGCTGCTGCTAAGTCGCTTCAGTCGTGTCCAACTGTGTAATCCCATGGACTGCAGCCTACCAGGCTTCTCTGTCCATGGGATTTTCCAGGCAAGAGTACTGGAGTGGGGTGCCATTGCCTTCTCCATGTCCAGGGCTATCAGCACATTAAGACAGAAGCAGTCATCACCTACTTTAGAGGGAATTCACTTGACCTGATGCATCCTCTCAGTGTTGAAATACACCTGACTTGGTGGTCACTACAGAACAAGGTGGTACAGGCAATTTGGAATTTTAACTTGTTAGGAAAGAGAAGGTGCAGTATTTAAGCAATTACTTCCAAACCTGGCTGTATATCAGAAATGCATGAGTAATTGTTTTTAAATACTGAATGGTGTGGCCTGCGCGCATGCATAGTCATGTACGACTCTCTGCAACCCTTTGGACTGTAGCCTGGCAGGCTCCTCTGTTCATGGGATTTTCAGGCAAGAATACTGGAGTGGGTTACCATTTCCTCCTTCAGGGGATCTTCTCAGCCCAGGGATTGGACCCTCATCTCCTGTGTCTCCTGCATTGCAGCAGGATTCTTTACATGCTGAACCACCAGGGAAGTCCCTTAAAAACTGAATGTTGAGCCCCATTCCATGAATGTGAATCAAAACAGTGGCTCCAGAAGCAGTATTTAGGAGAGTAAAGCTTAGTGTACATTGGGCAGATGGACATGGAGAGTCACAGAGGAAGGGAGTTACCATATTGGATGGTGGCCTAAGGTGGTTGAGGGGCTGAGGCTGAGTGAAGAGAAGTCGTTGAGGATAGGTCCTGAAAATAAAAGATTACTTAAAATTTCCTTTTTATTATAAAAACTTCCCTACTTTATCATTTTACTTGGGGTTGTCTCTTTTAGGACAAAGGTGAGTAGCAAAGGGATGAGAGAAAAAGGGAAAAAGCATCAAAGCAGTGAAGGCAAAAAATAACATAGTCTGGAAAATATTCTAATACCAAATATGGTATGATCAAGTGCAGTCAGAATACAGAATGGTGTGCATAGGTGTGTACGCGAGGCTCTGGGATGTATGTACTGTGAGTGCGCCTATGTGCAGTGCGTGTGCTTATGTGTGTGTGCAGGGCGAGTATGGTACAGAAGAAGCTGAAGAGGAAGGCTGCGGGCAGATGGTGAAAGATTTTTATGACATGCCACAAAGTTGGGACTTTGCACTACATGATTTGGGCAGCCACTCAATGTTTGATGTAAGGGGGTGACTGAATACAGATAAATGTTTAAAAAGATAATCCTGGTGACAAACACAGTTAAACCAGCTTAATAACAGTAGGGGTCCAGAAACAAAAAAGTGAGGGCCTGAACTGGGTGGGAGCAGAAGACATATGAGTTGGGGAGAACAGACAGAACTTGGAGATGGGCTGTGAGGCTGCCAAGAAGGGAAGAGATCCCTGATTTTCATGTTTGCAGAATAATGCTGCCATTAAACACTACTAGATGATGTAGGAAAAACATTTCAGAGGAGACGCATCCACTTTGGTTGGGGACATGAGGTCACCTAGGTGGAGATATTTACTGAACCACAACTCAGTAGAGGAGTTTGACCAGAGATGCTGACCTGAGTGGTGGGCAGGCCCAAAGAGAACTGGTAGGAGCAAGAGGATCCAGCATGGAACTCTGTGAACACCAACAAGGACTGGGCCAAAGAGCCGAGCCTGTGAAGGAGACCAAGGAAGAACAGCCAGGAAAATAGGAGACAAACAGGGAGAACAGAAGCCAGGGATGGACGGTGTTTTGGGAGGAAAGAGTGGCCAAATTACATACTAACGGAGGACTTGCTTACTAAGAGGGAAATTAGAATATTTACAGCCCGAGGGGAAATTAGGGATTTGAAAATATTCATTAGACAGGGGTGACTTGGGCAAGGTACCAGAGATAGCAAAAGATGAGACCTAGAATCCCGGGGCAAGGATTATCCTTTGCCAAACAACACACTAGAGAGTGTAAGTGACGTCATGCATTTAAAAATCACATTTCCCTTTCCTCTATGGACCTATTACTTGGTTTATGGATTATCCAGGCCTCTTATGGTCTTTCTTTTCCATTCTCAACCTGCTGGTTACTTCAATGATTGCAAGCACTTAAATCCAGGAAGATCAATGAAAGGTGATAAAATATGAAACCAAACTAAGAGCACCGCTTTTTCTTAAATACCTGTGAGAATGTTTACAGAGAGCCAATCTGAATCTCAGTGTTAAAGTGAGATTTGAGGGTTTTAAGTTTCTACAGTGGTTGACTTATATGCTGGAGTGTATGCTAGATGTATAAATACACACACACACATGAGCTTTTACATTTTAATTTTTGGTATTTATATTGAACAATTATACATGGATATAGCCTACAAACAACTACAAATATGTATGTATAATAATGATGAGTGTTCAAAAATTTTATACAGATAGGGTCATGCCATAAAAAACTGCAGCTGTCACAAACTGAGAGCTTTCAATTATTCACTTTAATCTTGGATATTCATGGTATCAAACAATGATGCTGTTTTCCTGGGAACTTGGGTTCAGATCACAAATGAGAAAGCTTTATTATGATCATCCTGAATTAAGAGAAAACCTGTTCCTTGAGTATGGAAACACCTGGAGCAGGAGGAAGAAGGAACTACACAAACTGTTAAGGCAGCTGTCATTTTATATCACCTCTGCTGGCTTGCAGCAAGGTGTTGAGTTCTCCCTGTTAACCAGCTCTGGGGGGAAAAAAACTCTGAACCTGACTTCATGCCTTGCAGTACCACATTCCTCTAAAGTTATTTCTCACTGCTTTGTTAAGAACAAGCCTCAACACTTCGAAGATAAGAAAATGATGTTATATTTCCATAGCTTCTGTTAATAAAGGGTATTTAAGAGAGCTGAAAAGCTTGGACTGAAGGGTCCATTAGCTCTTAGGAAGGTTGTGGTCTCCAGGGACTGAATCTCAAGGTGAAAGTAACTTTATCTGAAACCTCTAGATTAGGGTTGATGACGCCTCAGAACATCTTTGGGGTCCCAGGAGAGAATATCTATGAAGTAGCAGACCCAGGATTAGACAAAAAAACTAACTGATGCCTATTCTCTGCTGGGGGTGAGGACTATTTCTGTTTCTCTGCTATTTTTCTGTATTTCTGCTATTTCTATAACCTGGAGCAAAGGCTACAGGATCTTCTGCATTAGATTTCTTTCAGGATCAAGGACAGCAACTGGCTACATGCCTCAAAGGAGGGCAGTTTAGCAAAGATTTATCCTCTTGGTATAAGCATTTGAAAATAAGAGACCATTTTTTTTTTTTTTGCTAGCTATTCAAATTACAAAATACAAGTGTGACTCCCCCACTCCACCCCAAAAGTAAACTAAAGTTCTTGAAATAAGCACACACGAGGCTCTGGATAAGGTTTAGACAACGCACTCTTGATGGACTGTGGTCGCGCCGCAGCTGGGCACCCCAGACTCGTTTCCCCACTTAGTGAAAAAGGGGTCAGGAGAGGGGCGGATCCGGCTCTCATCGCCTTGCCCTAGGAGCTACAGCTGCGGGTAATCCTTTTGTTGTAGCGCCAGAGATCGAGAAAGTGGAAAGAACTTTTTCCGGATCTAAGTTTACATTCGTTGAATAGACGACGTTACAACAATCAGAGGAAGGCAGCAGGGCAGAAGAATTCCCCTCTGTCAAAAGCACTTAAGAGGCGCTTGGTTTTCCTACGTCCCCCAAGGGAAGACACAGCAGTGCTGCGTTCTGGAGAAATGAGGACATTATTCACACACTCCGGGTTGAAAAATAAGCGTATTGGGCTCCCAGGCTCCTGCAAAGCCACCAGGCACCGCGCTGAGGGCAGGCTGCCGCCCAGGACCGAGTTCCTAGGATGCACAGAACGGCGGAGTCCGGGTCTGGCGGGGCACCTGTCTGAGCCGGACTGCAGGCGCCCGGCTAATCCCCACTCGCCCACGCTTGTGCGCGCTTGCGTGCCTGCCTGAGAGCGAAGCGCGCTTCCAGTTAACTTCGAAAGGTGCTTTACAGACAGGGTGAGACACGCCTTATGGGGACACCAGGCGGGGGCGAGCCGGAGCCGCAATGGGGAGTCTCTTTCCGTCCCGCTGGGATGGCTGGAAGCCTGGGTCCACGTGGAATCAGAGCCGAGACGCGTGTCGCCTGCGCCTCGCGGGCGCAGAACTCCCGGCTTATGCGCCCACCCGGGGACCCACGCAGGTTCCTCCTGCAACCGATGCGGAGCGAAGACGTCGCTTACCTTGACTGAGCACTAACACCAGCTGCAGCGGCGTGCCGCCTGTCCGTCCTGGCCGCATCCTGAGCCCGTCGCCCTGGCGCTGGAGCTGCTGTGGGTTTACGCGGGGATTCAAGGACACCGAGACTCTCCAGAAGCCGTCCCGAGGGCTTCTCTCCCGCTGCCGGGCGTGAGCCGGGAAAAGTTGCCCGGCAGCTCCCGGAGCGCCAAGGCCCGCCCCTTCGCCTCGGCACTCAGCAGACCTGCCCCGGCCGGCCCCGCCCCGCCCGCCCACCGTCCGCCCAGTGAGCCGCACCTGGGCCCCTCCACACCCCCGGAAGCCTCACCTCCACCCACACACACCATCCCAGCCCCGGGACCCAGGAAGCCGCGGGGATGCGGGCTGCGCGCCTGGGGGCCTTTCCTGCCTGCCCAGCAGACGGCGAAAGTCAGGCAGTCAATACCCCGCCCCCCGACAGTCTGACGTAAACCCGGGGGAGACCCCGGGTCCCCGAGAGACCCTGGCCCTCGTGCAGGCCTCCGGCTCCTGGCAGGGGTGGCGGGGGTGGCAGGGGTGGGAGGGCTGGAGAGAGCCATGACCCCCAGCCTCCGTTCTCAGGGGCTGCGCGGTGCCTGCCTTCTCTGCCTTTCCCAAGTGGGTGGGGAAACGGACAAAAATAAGCGCAGAATGACCAGGTTAGAAACTAACCCGACAGGAAAGAAGATCTGCCCACAAGTTATGATTATCCCGAAGTGATATTTAAGCCAGAGCTGCTGCGGGGGGTGGGGGGGTTGTGTGTTAAAATTCTCATTCCTTCCTCTCCAAGATAATAAGCAGCTGATTTCATTGTTAACTTGAAGGGATTTACTTCAAGACACAAAGACGAGAGCGAGGCCTGGTATGAACTCGCGATGCTTCCTGTTTGCATTACCTTGTGAGTATTTTCTTCCATTATTTCAGGCCCAGCTCTGGAAAGAGAACATTCCATAACTACTTCTGAGCTTTTTACTTCCCAACTTAAGAAATAGGATAGTCACTTTTCTTTAAATCTGGGTTTTCCTCCGAAAGTTCGCCCACAAATTCCCGGCTCATTGCTGAAGCCAGGATCCTTCCAGTGACTACTTTCATGGTGTAATCAAATGTTTTAATAAACTAAATGTAAGGAGATACTAGTCCAATCATTGTTATTAGCACCATTCTAAACCTATATGAAGCAGGTAACTATGAGAAGGGGCTTCCCTAGTAAAGAATCCGCCGGCAATGCAGGAGACCCAGGTTCGATCTCTGGGTGGGGAAGATCCCCTGGAGAAGGGAATGGCTACCCACTCCAGTATTCATGGCTACAGTCCATGAGGTCGCAAAAAAAGACATTTGCCCCTTGGAAGGAAAGCTATGACAAACTGAGACAGCGTATTAAAAAGCAGAGACTTTACTTTGCCGACAAAGGTCTGTCTTGGTCAAAGCCATGGTTTTTCTGGTAGTCATGTAGGGGTGTGAGAACTGGACCATAAAGAAGGCTGAGCACCAAAGAGTTGATGCTTTGAAATTGTGGTGCTAGAGAAAACTTTTGAGAGCTCCAAGGAGACCAAACCAGTCAAACCTAAAGAAAATCAACCCTGTATATTCATTGGAAGGACTGATGCTAAAGCTGAAACTCCAGTACTTTGGCCACTTGATGGGAAGAGCTGACTCATTAGCAAAGACCCTGATGCTGAGAAAGACTGAGGGCAGGAGAAGAGGGTGGCAGAGGATGAAATGGTTGGATAGCATCACTGACTCAACAGGCATGAGGTTGAGCAATCTCTAGGAGATAATGAAAGACGGGGAGGCCTGGCGTGTAGCAGTACATGGGGGCACAGAGAGTCAACTGAACAGCTTTGGAAAGGATGCTGTGCTTGGGATACTGCCACGAGGAAGCAAAGTGGTTCAAGATGGGAAGGACTTAACTGGTAAAAATCAAATGCTCCCCTTTACCATAGCTAGTGCTGGAGTCTTGAATTGTTAAAGTATTAAATTGGTGTTTATCAGGTGCTACTGCTTATAATCATGACTATAAACTCAGTACATTTGAATCCAAAATATATAGCCCCTAGTTCTTTCCTGTTTTCTTATCTGTCACTTACTAACTCGACTTACTAATCCTTACAAACACTCGAAGGCATTTTTTTTTCTGCCCTGATGATGCTACTCACCTGCTTACTAAGACTCCAGTGGCACCTGAGAAGACGTAGGTGGCCGCTCACTAACCCTGACCCCCAGTCATGATGCTGCTCCCAGACTTATTGCAGGAAGTCAGCCAGGTTTCAGGCAGATGAATATCTGTCTGTTTCCTTCTGACTCACTGAAATGTGAGTAAGTGTTTGGAACAGACCCTTGTTTGGGAGGCAGTGAGTTCTCTTCGTGTGAGACAGGAGTCTGTGCTTTGTCTCAGAGTGGCTGGAGAGAAAATGCACCTTTTTTGCTTTTGTGCCCAGAACTAGACAAATTAACATGCTGGCATGAAGTACAGGATAAATCAGGAGCTATATTTTTCCAGAGCAGGCAACAATTTCACATTTCGAGAAACAGAGAACCACCTTCTGCCCCACATTAAGTTTTTTAAGAGTGTAAAGGTTTCCTGACACAGAACAGTTGGAGAACTCCAACCTTAATCATCCTAGGAACTATCCTGTCTAGGTGTAATTTTGCCGGCCACCACATTCTGAGTAGTAAATAAGACAAAGGCAGGTTTTCTGAAACTCTTTGGTCTCAGGATGCCTTGGATAAATGAATACAAAAATGTGATTAGGTACATGATGGAACATTATTCAGCCATAAAAAGGAAGGAAATTCTGCCATTTGCAGTGACATGGATGATGAACCTAGAAGACTTTACAGTAAGTGAAATAAGCCAGACAAAGGCAAATACTGTATGATCTCACTTACATGTGAGACCTAGAAATGTTAACTTATTGTACAGAGAGTAGAATGGTGGTTACCAGGAGCTAGGGTGTGGGGAATAGGGTGTGATGTTGATCAAATGGTACAAACTTTCAGTTATAACATGATTAAGTTCTGGAGACCTAATGTACATCATGGTGCCTATAGCTAATAATACTGTCTCGTATACTTGAAATTTGCTAAGAGAATAGATCTTAGGTGTTCTTACCCCACACATAGAAAAAATAAATATATAAGGTGATGAATATGACGAATATGTTAATCAGTTTGGTTGCAGTTATCTCATAATGTATATGCATATCAAAACTTAATTTGTCTATTTTAAATATATAAATATTTTAATTAATTATCCCTCAATAGAGCTAGAAAAAAATAGGATCCCAAAGAACTTCTGTTTATATGAATTTTTTCTATCAGTGTTTACCTTGGAAAATATTGAGACAGATAAATTTTCAATATTCATGTGTTAATTCAGCTTAAAATAATAGTAAAATTTTACATGTTAACATAAATAATACATTTTATGAAAAATAACTTTCCCAAAATAAAAGAATTAATGAGATGAATGATACTATTTTATATTTATGCCAGTCTTTTTAATATCTGACTTTGAATTCTTTTATCTGCTTCTGCATTCAGTCTGTTATAGAGAGGTCATTTTTGTGAAGTTATATGAATTAACCCATCATCACACAGATACCTGGATGGAAAAATAAAACATAATTGCAGATATTCTTCTGCTACTACACCAAAATTCAACAAGTGGTGTTTTGAAAAGACTAATTATGAGACCATGGGTTAAATCCCATTTCCCCTGCCTTCCTTCATCAAAGTCATTTTAAAACTTGCATGTCCTCCAAGCTCCATGTAGCCTAAATCATGTTTGCCTGAGTGAGTTGCTTTCTAGAAACTTTTGGGTCAGCTGTGTCTAGTTTGAGCTGAGTTGGCTGCGACTGGATAAGACCACCAATCCTTGAACCAAGTGTCCTGGGTGACCTTTGAAGGTGCAGAGGTCTGTAGCTTCGTTACAGCTGCACAGAACCGTGATTGCCGCACCTTTTTCCAATCACTTTTCCCTATGTTCCCTACACCTCAGATGCCCTGCTTCTTCATTCATATCCAGTAAATACCTCCAGCCTTTTATCCTCAGGGAGATGGGCTTGAGATTTGTTCTTTCATCTCCTTGCTTGGCTCCCTTGCAAATAAACCCTTGCTGTGGTGCAAACCTTGGCGTCTATCTTTGGACTTGCCAGGGGTTGGGAAAGGTGAACCTACTTTGGTAACATCACAATGTGAAACCTGAAACCATTATCAGTGAACTTTCCTACCCTAGTGCTGGTTTGTAACATAGATGAAACTTGAAATTGGTCCTTCACAGAGTATGTGGTGGGGGAGACAGGCAAGTAAACCACCAGCTACAGGATAACATCCAATGAAGTGAAGTCGCTCATTCGTGTCCGACTCTTTGCAAATCCATGAACTGTAGCTTGCTAGGCTCCTCCGTCCATGGGATTTTCCAGGCAAGAATACTGGAGTGGGTTGCCATTTCGTTCTCCAGAGGATCTTCCTGACCCAGGGATCCTACCTGGGTCTCCCACACGTCTGAGCCACCAGGAAAAACTCAAACATCCAATAGGTAAAGGCAGAGAGTGGCTTAGGGTCACAGAGGGGCTCATCTGAATGAGACCTGGAGGGTCCTGGAAGATTTTCTAAGGAATACTTACACTACATTTAGAAGGACTTCACTTGGAGTCAGCTGCCTCTAGTTGGTGCTGAGCTGGTTGCCTGAATAGGACCACCAACCCTTCAACTGGGCATGCATGATAGTCAGTACACAAAGGGCAAAGAGAGATGGAAGAAATGGTAAGATGGAAAGATGCAAACACTGCAGATTGGAATGTGCATGTGTGCTCACTTGTGTCCAACTCTTTTGTGATCCCATGGACTGTGTAGCCCACCAGGCTTCTTTGTCCATGGAATTTCCCAGGCAGGAATACTGGAATGGGTTGCCATTTCCTCCTCTGGGAGATCTTCCCAATCAGGGATCAAACGTTGATTCTCTTTCTTCTCCTACATTAGCAGGCAGATTCTTTACCACTACACCGCCTGGAAAACCCATAGAGATTGGTAGATGGCAGTTTTAATAAACGAGAACTTGCTCATGAAGCGTTTCTTGAGCAAGATAAGTGGGTCCCTGTGCCTTCCTGCAAGGTGAAGAGTTTATAC